TGGGATGCCATACCCTTGTGTGGGAGACCAGGAAGAAGCTCTGGGATCATGACTTCGGATTGGCTCAACTCTGGCCATTGTGGCCACTTGGGGGAGTGAACCAGTGGATGGAAGATGTTTCTCTCTGTATCTCCTTCATTCTGTAATTTGACTTTTCAATAATAAATAAATAAATAAATAAATAAATAAATAAATCTTTTAAGCCTCAGAAACAGCCAAATGTATTGGTCTACCATCACCTCAAAATGATTCAGTTGTTCTATTGCTAATCTTGGTTTGTATTAAGTTGAACTATCTCACAGTCACAGGCTATTGTGATAAATTCTCTTTTTCAAAATGAGAATGTTAAAAAAAATTCCTTTGAAAAGTGTGGTCAAGATCGTTTATTAAACCTTAATGTATGAGACACAAATAGTTTCTTTCTCATCAGCCCATTAACAAAATAGAAATATTTGTGAGGAAAATGCTTCCTGGAGGTTCATTTTCGTAGATAATCATTCAGGTTAGTTAAATAATCACACTTCGATAGTTCATTTGCAGTTTGAACCCAAGGTCCCGGGCTCCTTGTCTAGTTCATTCTCCATCAGTTACAGATGGATCATGCAATTCAATTTAATACACTTCAAATACAAAAAGTTATCAGCAAGAAAGGGGACAGTCAATTTTAGCCTCGATTCAAGTCAATGTTCATAAAGATACGGAAGGGCGACTGAATGAAGGCATCAACACTTCAGGAAAGCAGCACATCGTATGAATCTGAGCTGTAGTTATCACAGTCTGTTTCTACCTGAAGCTCATTCCAGTTTGCATGAAACGATCAAATCAAAGCGGCATGGCGGGATGTCCCAGCGCAGCTGCATGGAAATGTCAGCCTTCCTTTCGAAGGTGAAGTGAGAAAGCTTTGCAAGTGGCACTTGTGCCTTGGATCAATGAGAACCTGACAGCACTTGGATGTTGTTGACAAGTGGCACGCAGTAGGCGGGCAAGAGGGAGAGATTTGCTAGCTGAAATGAAGCAGATTTCTAGAGAACTGAAAAATCTCCAGCTGTAGGAATTAAGAACAGAAAAACGGATTCCATTTTCTTACATAGTTTTCTAAAGTTCCCCCCTCACACACGGGGGAACTCTATCAGATTCTATTGGAAAATGTTCCCTAGAAAACGTAATTTAGAAGATTTGATGGAAAAGATTTTCCTTCAGCTATCAATAGCTAAATAATCTTTTGTGAACATCACAATTTATTAGAATCCCAAGTGCAGGTTTAGTTTAATATATTTCTTCAGACTGAATATGGACGTGTTTTCTGGAGTTTCATTGAAAAATGAAAGCACATATAAAGTGTATTCCAGCCCATTTAACTTTTCTATCTTCTTTTACGATCCAATGAATTTTATTCGTGCTAGCAAGTCATACCGAGCCTCAAGACTTTAGGATTAAGATTAAAATACTTGGTATATGAATTATTGTTAATACAAAATCAGTATATTTTTGTATTCGCCACTGTTGCCACTTAAAGGAATTGGGCTAACCTGGTGGTGTAGTGTAGTGATTTAACTAATTTAAAAGATGATGCTGACACAAATTCAGCTCAGTTCTGTTATTGTAACCCAAGGTTGGTGAAAGTCAGATGACTTCCCTACAGACATTGCATTGAGCACCTGAACTGCATTTCTACAGTCCTTCCCCATGCGGTGATCAGGTGCAAAATCAAGGTCCACTTCCCAGTAACAGTAAATATAGGACAGATGTCAATTCCAGTGGACTGCATTTGCCAGAGAATATGAATACAAAGGAAAAAAACTCTGTCATAAGCTAAGAACAAATGAATTACCTAAACTGCAATGAAATTCTACAAGAAGGGCAGGTCCTAGGCGAAGGGAAATTGGGGTTTTTTTCTACTCTGTGAAATCAGAGTTAAGACAATATAGCTATATGCAAATGTGAGAATAAACCCTGTGTGTTCCAGGGAGACTCCTATTTTTCTCCACTGGATAATGGCATTTTGGAGAAAGAATGGCTGTGACATCTGCTAGAGCTGTTCACACCATGGCATGCAGGTGCAGAGCTTGGAGTCATGGGTGCCACTGGGAAGGCAGCATTGAAGTCATAGTGAAGAAAGACCAAGTGGAAGAGCAAGTGGAAGCAGACGGTTGGGAAACCATGGATGTAAACTTTCAACAGGGAGTCAGTGACAAGGTTATGACTCCCACAACCAAACTGGAGAGAAGCAAAGAAATTGGGCAACGGGATACTAGAATCTCCTAGGAATGCACATGGAAGAGAGAAGGTGGGATGCCAGGCGACACGGGGACTGAGTGTTGGCAGTTGCTCTGCAACAGCACGAAGACACAGAGGGGCAGAGGTGTTGAGAAAGGTGGTGACTCCAGCTTTGTATTAAGCTGAGTGTGAGTTACTAGGGGGCATGCCAATTACCACTTCTTAGTAAGTAATGGCTTTGATCTTTATGGATGATGGATGGTTGAAGGTTACAGAAGCCATGGTCGTGCAGGCAACAAGCTGGGAGGGTGAGCTGACTGGACACAGAGTTTGCGACACAGAATGTACCAGAGATCTCATCTGTCATTGTAGGTGGCTCCGCTCAAGGGCTGAACTGTATTGATTATAGCAGGGCTGAAGAATACATGGTAAGTGTGGTAGTAGTGACCTGGAGCTAATCGTTTACGTCACAACAATTTTGTAAGCTCATTGCTCTCATTAAATAATAAGGTATACAGATTAAGAATGTGGAAATAGGGCGCAGTGTGGGGATAGCCTAATGGCTAAAGTTTCTGACTTGCATGAGCTGAAATCCTGTATAGGTATAGGTTCATATCCCAGCTGCTCCCCATCCCTTACAGCTCCCTGCTTGTGGCCTGGGAAAGCAATAGAGGATGGGCCAAACCTTTGGGACCCTGTATCCTTGTGAGAGACCTGGAAGAAGCTCCTGGCTCCTGGCTTCAGATGAGCCCAGCTCTAACAATTGTGGCTGCTTGGGGAGTGAATCAACAGACGGAAGATCTTTCTCTGTCTTTCTCCTTTTCTTTGTAAAACTTGACTTTCCAATAAATATAAATCTTCAAAAAAGTAGGAATTATCTTAAAAACCAGAGATAATGCAAGCTTATGCTATAATGCTTTTCAATGTTTAGATTTTCCTTTATTAATTCATTATAATTCTCTGATATCTATGCTTTTCAGAAAATTTCTGTTGCCAAAGCTACATCTTGGACCAGCCATGCCCATGTGCTATTTATTGTGTAGTTCATTTCGAATCCAGTCTCAGTAGCTTTGATAAATTGCACCCAGAGAATCAGAAAAACCAACAACTCAAGGCTCTTTCCCCAGCAAGTTGGTTGCTGAGCATTCATCAGCACCCCTCCAATTAAACAGAAATTTCCGTAAGAAAGAAAAAGGGTCACAGGGCCCCACTGAGCTCCACTTCCCACCGCGGAGGAATCACCTCTAACACAGTTATTTTGTGAATACAGTTCAGAGTTTCTGGTGGTCAGTCATTCCAGGAAGACAAATCTGTATGCTGTATGCCTGGAGGCTCCTGCGAAGTCCCTTGCTTGGGACTGGAGCACAAGGGCTGCTTGTACATTGCTCTGTCTTGCTGTGGTCCACTGCTCACGCTCTTCTGCATGAATCCGGTTGGACTTCTTTACGACACAACTAGCCTGCTGTTAGTTGTATCTCTTACTTGGGTCTCTGAGCTCTAAAGGCAGTGTCTGGGAGGCAAGTGGAAGAAACTCTAACATCACTGTCTATTTTCTCACTTCAGAAGTCACTGATTCACTTCCATCATATCGTCCTTGTGACACAAAAGATGAAAGTGTAGCGAGATTCAAAATGATGGGAAGCGGGCCCTGATTCATAAAACTGGAGGACGCAGGTGTCAGATCGATAGCTGAAGATCTGATGTCTTCTTTCTAAACCTAGCAGGAGCTCAGATTGCGGAAAAGCTAGAGAGAACCATCTGTGGAGCCACGACCAGGACACGCACTCTGAAATACATTGCAGAGTTTTTACCACCGCCAGTCCTGAACAAAATTTACACACAGAAACTAGATCGTCATTTCCAAATTGTGTCTTCCTGGGAGGAGTAAAGAAAGTGTGATTTGGAGGAATTTTATGGAGTGGAAGAGTCCAGCCTTGGATGATGATCAGTAATAAATATTGTCTATTTCTTTAAGGTTGGCAAAGTTTCTGTGTCTATGATGAAGAACTCAAAACTTTTCATCATTTTTTTCTGACTGTTTCACCTCAATCCATCTCTTGTATGAGATTCTGTTCTCACCTTGGCTGTTTATATCATACTTGCTTATATTTTCTTCTGCACCTATTTTTGCTTCTCTCTCTCTCTCTCTATGTATATGCATATGTATGTGTATGTGCATTTATTATTTTCATGCTTAGGAGTTTTACTTCTCTAAACAGTGTACCTATCCCACCTCTTGCTTCTTGCTTTTTGGTGGTGAATGGGGAAATATTATCCCTCTTTCACAAGCCCTTATCAATCCAATGGATATGCAAAGTCTTTGGGAAGAGCATTTAGCCTAACAGTGAAGACACTGGTTGCAAAGCCTCTATTTCATATTGGAATGCCTCACTTTGAGTCTACTTTAAGCTCCCAATTCTAAGCTACTGATAGTGCAGGTGTGGCTCAAGGTGGTTGGGTTTCTTCACTCAGGATGGGAAACCTAGACTGAGTGTCTACTTCCTGACTTAAGTCTGACCCAGCCTTGGCACTGGCGGGTCATTTGGGGACTCAACTGGTAACTGGAAACTATCTCTTTCAATGCCTCTCTGCTTCTCAAGTAACCCTTAAAGAAAGAAGATCAGCCATCTAGAGATAAGTATAAAAAGAAGAAATTTTGAGCAGGTAAAATGCGTACTAGACAGTTAAAAATTAAAAATTGAAGAAGAGTTTAATATATTTGGGTAAGGCTACATCTTAGAACCTTTGTGGAATTATTTCAAGAAAAGCAAAATTTATTAGAATATTTGCTTTTATGATTGTGGATTAACAGAAAGTCTAGAGATTAGAATTGTTGAATGCCTATCAGCTGTATTCTGCATCCTGCATCATTTTTGAGAGTCTGTCTCGCGTCAGGTGCCATGCTAAGCTCCTGAAGCAGCGTGAGAAGCAGAATAACAGCAAACAGCTGACAGGCACTTAAAATACAGGTTGGAAATTAGATGCTACTGTTGCTCATGCCAATTAGAAAGTCACCCTTTAATTTTGGAGATGTGACAGCTTTTCACAGGACTGAAAGGCTTCACCCTGTGTATAGGAGAGGATCAAATTTAGACACAGTCATGAGACATCATCAAAACATGGGCTCCTTCGATCACCTCCAGGTCGCCTATTTGCTGTAAGCCATTACACTATCTCAGACTGAGTAAAACATCCAAAAGTATAAGTGCTCTAAATCAGTGACTTAACACAGTCTTTACACATTTTTCCTTTAAAAAATAGCGGATTTATAAAAATACTGGGGGTATTATGATACATCAAATTAAGCTGGGGCACGGGATGCTCACATTCCCACTCAAGTGCCTGGTTCAAGTCCAGAATATTCCATTTCTGATCCAGCTCCCTGCTGGCACTATTTGGAAGCCACAAAATTTAGTCCCAGTACATTGAATCCCCAGCATCCACTTGGGAGATACTGGTTTGGCTTCAAAATAACATAATTCTGGCAGTTGCAGCCACTTAGGAGATAAGTAAATAATAATAATAATAAAAAAATAAACATGTCACTCAAAGCATAGGAGCTAGTGAAGGGAGCAGGAGCGCCATGTTTATTAACCCACTATTTTACTTGGAATTTACAACCAGCACTGCAGAACCAACCCATTTACCACACACACACGCGCACACACACACACACACACACACACACACACACACACACACACATACTCTTCATTTGAATGGCATTGCACCTGCTACCTGTCGGTGCATGGTGAGGTACTGCCTGCATATCTATGTTCTGGGAAGGAGAATTTCCTCGATAGCTTTAGAAGTTGTCCCTTACTGAGTTGCACATGCAATAATGTGGAGAACTCTGAGAAACTCTCAGATCAGAGTGCTATGACCTCTTCCATCAAACACTTGATTTGGTTGGTCTGGGGCATGAGCCATGCAGTACTCTGTACTGCTCCATGTGAGAGCTCGCTGTGGGTCAGTCTGGAGACTGTGTCCCTGAGGATCTCAGGGATAAACACCTGATTGTCAAGACCTTGGAAAAATTCAAGTCATGTTGGGACAGTGTTGAAATGGGCGGAGTGCACTTAGGTATGCCATTCAAGGCAAGCCAGCTGGAACGTGGGGCCAGGGTGTTAGACTAACCTCATTCTCAAAAGAGGTCAGAAGTATGGATTGTGTTTGTATTTGCAGTCTGCAAATTTTTACATTTGGGCAGCTGATTTACTATCTATACGCCTATCTGTGGTTGAAAATATAAGAAGGGACTGAAGAAGACCTGCTTTTGAACTAGAATCAACCAAAAGCATTGCCACTTTTGTGACTTTGTTCTTTGTGAAGAGATTTTATTCCAAATTCTTCACTCCGTTGCTGGTGCAAATGCAAGATAAATGCCAGATTATGTTCCAAGACTATAACACTCTCATGAGCAATGTTTATAATTCATCATTGTTGCCTATAAAACTCCCATACTCAATTTTGCAGAATAGATATATTCATAATGAGATAGTTATTTCTTCACCTCCCACTAAGCACAAGAGGTTGAAGATGAGCTTCTCTCAGTAGATTACACACTAGAGCAAAAAGTACATAAAATGAGATGCACTGTTGTCCCACACAGGCTTCCCTGGAGCATCCATAAGCTGGCTCTTTGGTGTCGTACTCAGAGCTAGCAGGACACAGCCTCAGAACGAAATGCACGTGCTTTCTGTGGCAGGAAACTTACTTTACTTCCAAATATACAGTGTCAAACGTGAGTCTATCAGCACTTCTAAAAGTTTCAGTTGGAGACGACTAACTGCCTTTCTTGAGAGTTGACATTTATTACGCTTTGAAACGAAAAGAAAAAGGGAAAGAGAAAGAAGACCTCTAATGTGGGATGAGCACCTGTCTCCCTGAAGAGACATCTCTTGCTGTCATTCCTTTGTGCTGAAGCCTCTGCTGTCTGCATTGTCTACTTCTTTCCAGTTCATTTGCCTCACCGCTTCCCTCTCTTTTTGTCCCATGGAATATTGGCACATCGGTTGGGTTAACTAATATCAAATGATAACTCTCTTTCCATAACCATCCTTTTACTGTCCTGGTGTAATGTTTTCATCCATTGCTCCCACTAGATAAGACAATGTTTCTTGAGTTTTAGGTTTCCAATAGTGTTTTTGTGCATAAAACCCTCCTCTGAGTTTGATGAGTTCAAATGTAGCAGAGTGCACACACAGAGACTAAACAAATAGGGAAAAGGAAATGGTTCTACTCCCTTGTGATGAGGGGATAAAAAGGCACGGTGCCCACCATTCCCTGCGACTCGAAACTCAACCCGGCCTTTCCAAGGCTGTCCTAAGTTCACCACAACTTTGCAGCATCTATAGGAATATCTCTTACCGTAAACAAAAGGTTAGTAGCTGTGTTTTCCAGCTGTTTCTTCGCAGCCAGATGTCTAAGCAGCCCACTTAGCAGCCTGTTAGTGCCTGTTAAGTAGGAGAACTATTCATTCTTATGAGATGTTGAACTGAATGTCGTTAGGCTTGGGTGACAGCAGATTGGCTATGAAGGCTGTCTCATTTCATCAGTGATGCTACAAAGATTGGTCTGATGAATGAAAGTCTAAGCCCTAACCGTGTCCCTCCTTCCCTGCTCTGCTTCTTTGAGTTCCATTTCTTACAGGGAGCATGCACGGGAACATTGTACATGATGAATATATTTCATTAAAACTGAATCTTTAAAACTGTATCCAGAGGTCGTTTGTCCTAAAGGGCTCATTTTTACTCCACAATATTTTTTTTTATATTCTCTCTCTACCTCTCTTTTTCTCTAAACATGTTTTTTTATTATTATTATTCAAAAGACACATATACAGAGAGGAGGCAAAACAGAGAGAAAGATCTTCCATCCATTGACCACAATGGCTGGAGCTGTGCCCATCTGAAGCCAGGAGCTTCTTCTTGGTCTCCCATGTGGATGTGGGGTCCGAAGGCTTTGGGTCATTCTTGACTGCCTTCCCAGGCCACAAGCAAGGCACTAGATGGGAAGCTGGGCTGCCAGGATATGAATCGGTGCCCATATAGGATTCCAGCACATGTAAGGAAAGGACTTTAGCTGCTAGGCTATTTTGCTGAGTTTTCTCTCTTTTTAAGAAAAACTCACCTTCATAGGTGGTGAGTTTATACCTTATAGAAGCATGTTTGTTAATGCATAGGCGTTGGTTGTTGCTTTGTTTTATTTTATTTGATTACTGCAGATTTCATGGTAACTGTTGATAGGTACCTGCAGGAATGGAGACTCTGTTGGTGGGTTTGGAAAGACTGAGGGGGAATATTCAGAGTGCAAAGTTCAAGTCAGTGAGCCATGTGGGACCTGGAGGAACAGCATGGCTTGGAGCAGATCTTACAATCAGCCTTTTCTGTTGGTCCCATGCACCTGTGAAATAGATAAGGAGGTAGCTAGACAGTAGATGCTGAGGTTGCCAGCCATCCCTGCAGCCGTTCTGGACCTACAGCCCCACAGCCCTGCCCAAAGACTCCATCTTTTCAGGAAATTGGAACAACTTCAGCTTCCATGAAATTGCCACTGAGAACTCAGAATTGGCATGGGTCAAAAATAATCAATACCACTGCCAGCTGCATCCCCCAAATACCTGCTAGCTAATTACAATATCATTATAATAAAACAGATACTCTCACTCCATCAGGCACCTGACACCATAGTTTCTGAGATGCTCTAAAACAGAAATGGACTCAACCCTATACCAAACTCTGTCCTGTATGATGATTTGATTCAATGCCACCCCACCTCTTCTGTGGCTCAAGATTATAGAAAGGAATGGCATTGAATAGGTGAGCGCAGGTCCCTCTGAGGTTGGCCAATAGTCCCTGATCCATACAGATGTGCACTGTCCATACAATGAAATCCTGTATCCGCTAGCCTCTGGTTATGCTCCGTTCTCCAATTCTTCCTTGCCTTGGAGACAAGAAGCTAAATCCAGCCACCTAGTATGTTTGCATTTGTCCAGAACAGCCTGGGTGATTCTGACTTAAGACATTTTATATTTTGAGCTAACTATTGTGTCTGTAAATTGATGCTAAACAAATACTCCTAAAACCAAAAATAATATTTTAAGACTAAATTAGTTTTGATATTATGAGAACTAAGAAACATTGAATCTATTCCAGAAAAGATGCATCTTACAAAGAATAGGAACATCACCTGCATGCAAATATGAAGTCTAATAGCTACAGAGAATGCATTTTCCTGATTTTACTTAACGAAACAATCTCAGAAAGTCAACTTTATATCCATTTTACAAAATACTTCAGCAAATGTGATTGCTGTGGTTGGTGTTTCAGAGCCAGAACTTCATTTCCTTTCCTCTTACAAGACACCATCTTCTTTCGTAATCCTCAATTATGGAATAATATCACTTTCGAATCTACCAACATCTATGTAGCTTAAAGGGATTCAACGCAATTGTTGAAGTCAAGCATTATCAATGCTACCACTCCACTTTGTAGCAAAAGATCCAGAAACCTTGACAAAACATTTAAATAGAAAGTTCAAGACTAAGAAAAATTTGAAATAATGCAAATGAGGTAATCCCCAGTAACGTTAAAAAGGCACAAATGTGTTAAAATGAACAGCAGATTGTTTTCATCAGAAGTCATGTTTTGAAGAGTCCTACTAATACATTTTTTTTCGATTTCATGTTTAAATATTCAAAAGCACTTCCAAATCTATATGACCGAGGAAAAAAAATAAAGCAATAGACCTTCTGTATCTCTATGGATACAAAAAAGCAGATTTAAGCTCTATCATGATTTACGATCTTTATCATGAATTCTACATTCTGTGTTACGAATATATTCATCCCACCTTTACGTGTAAAACAAATGCAGCAAAATGTTAATCATATGTGAGCCAAATGGAAGGACATGCCGCAACATACTTTGATATTAGAAAACAAAGTTATCTTTTTAGGAAGAGACATCCCTGAAAATATCAAAGGACAGGATAATTGTCAGATGTCTAAGAGAAGGAGGAAGACAAATTTCACACAATGCAATGCCAATTAGATGGACAACACTTGCCAATGTCTGTAGGATATTCGAGTTAGAACTCTTTACCTTCAGTTATTATACAATACAGGAATGGGTGCAGAAAAGGATGGGAGAAGGGAGAGGTGGGGAAACAATTGATGGGTACCAAAGCGCAGCTAGAAAGGTGTTCACTGTCCGGCAGCGCTGGACTGATGCATGGAACCAATAACCATTCACATAGATTACTGATTGATGACCAACAGCCAAAGTTTAATAAAGGCCAGAGACTTTAAAGCTCGAGAAACGCATAGGCAAGGAAAGAGGGGCTGAAACAGGATACAGCTGGCAGGCCCCCATGCAAAGGGGATCAATCAGTAAACAATGCATTCTTCTATAAGGCTCCTCTCTTTGATCTCTTATACCTGAACTTGAGGATTAGGGAGTACCCGCTTCTACATTTATGTATCAACTGCTCCTGGAGCGTTCTCAACAGGATTCCAGCTGACTGTGTCAGTAAACTGGCAAAGCTTCCCATTTGTTTTTTTTCATAACCAATTGACTTCCTATAGAATGAAGTCATATGTGCTGGAGTTCTAACGGTAATGCACCCTATGCGTCTCTGAAAAATTGAAAGTGGGGAGGAAGGGGAATTCCTTTATGTGAATTTAATCAAATTTGCTGTCTTAAACTGAGGGACAAATGTTGAATATTTTCCACACACAGACAAAATATTTGAGAGGATCCATTTACCTTGATTTGCTGTTCACTGTCCTGCAGCGATGGATTTGGTACACAGAGCGTATAATGACACGCGTGGACTACTGACTGATGGTCAATAGCCAAAGTTTAGTAGTGTCATCAGACTCTTATAGACTGAGAGCCACATAGGACACAGGAGAAGGTGTTGAGCTTATGTAGTTCCCATAAACCTTTCTACGGAACCCATCAATTTTTTCTACACTCTTGTTTGGAACTGTCTTTTGTTTATCCCACCAAGTGTTCTCATTCAAATAATATCCAATCAGTTGTTCTCATACCAGTGTTAACCTAGCAATTGAAATCCTATGTTCACTGTCCTTCTAGAATCACAATGTTCCCCTACAATTTACCATCAATGTAAACATGCATTGAAACATTACATAATATCTAATAGATACAAGCTGTATGGGTCAACTAAAAACTAACTCCCCAAAATGCCAGTGTTTATAGTTCTGCAAGATTTAATATTTGTCAATTTGATTTTATTTTAATATTTATCAGAAAAAGTGAATTTGAAAGGATTGTTTGGGGAGAAGGGGAGGGAAGATTAGGTTGCTCTGAGAGTTGGAAGGTGTCTGGAAATTTTCTGTGAGCTCTCTCCTCCTGACTCTGGACAGGTCATCTGTGGTGGAACTGATGTAAGATGGAGACCTCTGATATTTCTCATGGGTCACGTGTCTCCCATCAGTCAAGTGTCATGGTAGAGAACTGCAGCAAGCAAGCTCTGTGGTGGTCATTCACAGCTCTGAACATTTACTTGCACCTGCTGGGGGCTCAGTTCCAAAAGTCCCCAGTTCAGGCAGGAAATCTTCTATCCCAATGAAATGGACAACTGTCAGAAAGCCACACATGCCTTCCTGAGGTTTGCAGGAAAATGGGGTGTGTGGGGAATGAGGAGAGCAGTGACACAACCCGCATATAGATACACAGCCATGCAGGTCCGGGGCAAGTGCTCCATGAAATAATCCAAAACTCTCCAGGCTTTGGGGTTCCAAAGGCAGAACCCAGACTGGAAACAGGTGAGGTTCCTCCTTTTACAGAAGACACCAAGCAATCTTTGTACTTCCAACATGAAATGACACACCAGGCAATGCTGTCCTAGAATGAGGACCTGGCCAAGTGGCAGAGGTTGAGCTCATAGGAACAGAACCCAGAGGCAGAAGACCAAGCCAGGCTACCGCAGAGCACCAAGGGGCCACGAGGAAATGTGTTGTGGATGGAAAGGAAAAGCAAGCCTATGAACAAAGGTGGCATCCCATCCTGAGGCATGGAGTCTACTGACAACAAGGAAGGAGAAGAACAAAACCAATGACTGCATCCTCCCGGTTTTACGTAAGCACCAGTGTCACCCAAGGGTGGCCAGTGACAAGTGCAGACAGAAAACCAGGTTATGTGCTTTGTGCTTATGGAAGTCTGAATTTCATTTTCCATAGTTTCTTTTGAGAGATCCCATTTGGGTTCCTCTTCCTTCATGTCAAGCTTTTGGATTTGAAAAGAAAACTTGTGTATTGAGTAGGAAGTTATTCTCCAAAAGCATGGCCACTAGAGAGACCTACAGCAGAGAAGAATCTTTTCATCTGACAGCTGACTGCAGAATGAAAACCCCATTGCAGAACTACAGAGGCAGTAGTAACACACGATGACATAGACAAGGGAGACCAGTTGTTCTTTTGAATGGGTTCAGATGAGTTAATACATGCAAACCCATTTCAGGGATGGTTGTGTCTCTCCCATTAGTATTACAACATGGAAACTCGTGCAGGGACATTCAAATGACAATAATTTGAACAGTCCTGATCTCTAAAAATGAAACAAGTAAACAGCAAACAACAAGAATTGAAAACTTTGAACCTGGAAAAATAGCTTTAGATAGTAGGAGGAAAAGTCAGCTTACGTTAAAATCAAACTAGAAAAGGAGTTAGGCCTGCAGTCAGAAATCAGAAGATCTCCCTGTGTAACTACGGGTTACCCTTTCATGCCAAGTTATTGATTGTTTCTTTGGTCTAATACAAAGCTCTCTGAAGAGGCTTCTGTATCTGGGAATTATGGAAACCATGAAAACTGGTCTTGGAAGAGTTCGAGAACACATTCATCAATGACACAGATTTTGAACAACAGATCCAAATGTCAAACTAAAAAGAATACCTGCAGGTTGTTCAACATTCAATTTAATTGCGAGCTCCACAGTAATACCTTCTTTAACAGGAAAGGCTCCCACCTCCAGAGTACCAACGACATTTCTCGTGATCCCTCGTGGCGTACCTACCTAGAGACAGAGGGGGCACTTGGGCATTGTTCTGCTTGGTGATGACTCACAGAGCTCTTAAATAAGGGTGGGTGCACCAGTAGGAAATGGGCAATCAGCATCCGTCACACCTGGGGTGTGGTGAGGCGCTCTACCTCTTCCGTTCAGAAGGCATGTGCTCAGGGGTTTCTGTCACGCGAAGGGTTTCTTGCTCATGGACTCCAATTCACCTTGAAGCAGGTGTATGGACGATCCAGGTCATTTTGTAATCTAGGTTTGATCTCAGAGTGTTTCCTGATGTTGGTTCCTCCTGGATCACCATCATTTCTAGATCCAAAGCACTGGCCCTATGGGCGTGTGTGAGACCACACTTAGGGTCTGTCGTGGCCATGCTGCATTTGCCTTAGTGACTGCAGGGAGTATTAACAGCTATACATCTGCCTTCAGCATCCATCTGGTTTCTCCAGGGATGCGACTGGTACATTAGAGAGTGCTTCTGGCATCATCAGCGACATGCCCTTCAGCAACTTGAAGTGCTGATACTTTCCATATTCTTTTCCCCACCATCACTCTCACCCCAGTATAGGATTAGCTCAAAGACAAGATCTAGACAGTGCATTTCTGTGTCTACTGCACAAAACTTGAATTGCTAAGTAATATAGTTACTTTCACTTTTCCCTTTTCCTGCCATTCACTAATATCCTACCATTGAGCCAACATGAATCCTTTAAAAACAATTGAGGCTATCAAACTCCTCTGCTAAGAACATTTCAGTGGTTTCCTTCCACCCATCGAGTAAAATCAAATTTTCTTACCAGGGCCTATCAATCCCCTGGGCCACCTTTATGTAAAGCCATTGTGTTCAACAGCAGCATCTCACACGGACACTGGTCTGTGTTCCAGTTACTCCATGGTAGATCCTATTCACTGCTAATGGCCTGGGGAAACAGCAGGAGATGCCCCACATGCTTGGCTTCCTGCCAAACAGTGGGGGACCTGACTGAAGTCCATAACTCCTGATTTTTGGTTTTGGTTTGCTTAACCCCTGGAAGTTGCAATACTCTAGGGAATGGAGCAGCAAATGCAAGATCACTCTCTCTCTCGCTCTCTGTAACTTTTTCAAATACATAATTAAATAAATTTTATAAGGCCTGCCAGTGACCACACAATCTAGATTTTATCTAGGTGCCCATACTTTTTTCTCTCTTCCATTTCTTCAGTTTTTGCACAAGCCTCTTCCCTCCCCCAGGGGTCTTCCATCTGCATCTTAAACACAGCTGTATCCTCATCCTGGTGTTTACAGGTGCCTTTGTCCTGATGCGAACTGCTTTCCCCAGTAGGCTGAAGTGTAGCTCTGATGTTTTGTCCTGCTCAAATGATCCATCTACAAGAAATTTTACCTTGCCTCCAAGGCCAAGGTGTGATTTTCAGCCTGTTTCACTGTTTAGCCATTTGTCTGTGTCCTCTGACTACCATATCAGGGCAGCAATAGCATACAAAACAACAGCAAGCTATGATTTCCTCTAGATTCTGCTTCCACTGAAGATTGAGTTATAGACAGACATCTGAGCTACATACGTAATATATGAAGTTTTACTCTGGAATAAGGAGGTCCTTTCTTTACATAATTTCCCTGGTGAACAAGACTTACAGAAGATGCATATATTTATAATTTGAAGATACATATATTTATATATGTATTTACATTTATAGATATTTTTATTATTTGATTTTGTTCTTGTTGTTCAGAAATGGATTGGCTACTCTGCGTCATTTGTGAGTTCACAAAAATTTAGAATTATTTTTCTAACACTGTCAAAAAAGAGTTAGCATTTTGACAGAGATGACATTGAATCTGTATTTTTTTTAGATTGTATAAACATTCTAATAATATTGACTCTTCCAATCTGTAAATGAGAATTATTGCCATTTTATGCATTGAAGTATAAAGATGCTAAATTTTCTCTTGTGCTAAGATTGTAACCTACAAATTTATTGAATTGGTTTATTAATTCTAACTGTTTTAGTGTTGGTTGGTTGCTGGAGTATACAAGTTTATCCATGAACAGAGTCATGCCATTTTTTAAAAGACTTATTTTTATAGAAATATAAATATGAAGAGGAGAGACAGAAAGATCTTCCATCTGCTTTTTTTTTTTTTTACTCCCCAAGTGGCTGCAACAACCAGAGCTGAACCGATTCGAAGCCAGGAGCCCTGAGCCTCTTCTGGATCTCCCACGCTTATGCAGGATCCCAAGTCTCTGGGCCGTCCCCCAACGTTTTCCCAGGCCACAAGCAGAGAGTTGGATGGGAAGCAGAGATGCCAGGATATGAACTGGCACCCCTGTGGGATCCAAGTGCATGCAAGGCTAGGACTTGAGTCACTGGGCTCATGCCAGACCCCTCCTTCCCAATTCTGATATCATTAATTTCTTTTATTTTACCTAATTGTTCTTGGTAATATTTCCGAAACATATTAATTAAAAGTGATGAATCTGGATATATTTGTCCTATTGCAAATCTAAGAGAAAATGCTTTCATCCTTCCCCAATTCAGTGTAAACTGGCCGTTGGTTTGTTATTCACAATATTTGCAATTTTCATGTGGTTGCTTATATAGCTGATTAGTGGATGCTTTTAATAAAGAAGTGGTGTTGAGTCTTATCAAATATTACCTCTGCATCTGTTGAGATGAGCACATGTTTTTACTTTTCACTGTTGATGTGAATGGTATTTATTGATCTGTGAATGTAGACACACTCACGCATTTCTAGAATAAGTCCCTCTTGTCCATGATGTATTTGATGTGACTTTGAATTCAGTTTGCTAATATCTTGTTGAGATTCTTAGCATCTATGTTGACCATGGATAGAGAGCTATAGTTTTCTTGCTGTGTGTTTCATGGTTTTACTACTAGAATGATGCTAGCCTCAGTAAAAGAATTAAGCAGAATTCCATCCTATTCCATATGTTTAAATCATTCCACTTAGAAAATTTTTTTAAGAGCTCAGTAACAGAATTATCAGGTTCTGGCCTTTTCCTTAAAAGAAAACTAATTACTGCTTCAATCCTTTAATTGTTCATGGATGTGTTTAGATAGTCTCTATCATGATTTAATTTTGGTAGATCATACATACCCAGGAATTGTTCCATTTCTTGGCCAGCCCTTCACTCTCAGTCTATGTGTGTCTGTATCTGTCAGTGTGGAATACTGCCTTTCAAAGTGTGCCTGACACAGTGTCCCTTGGGAACTTGTTACAAGTGCAAAAACCCAGATTCCTCCTCTCACCCTGCTGAGATGGAACCTGCATTGTGCTTCACCTGCAAACCAAAATGTGAAAAAACCGTGAGAACACATAAAGGATTCTAAGGCATTTGGCTTTTATCACGATTGAGGAGAAGCCAATGATTTAGGAATACAGATGAGCATAAATTAAATTTCTAAACATCCTGCTGACTGGGCCAGACACAGTAGCCAAGTCCTAGCCTTCATGTGCCAGGATCCCATATGGGTGCTTATTCACATCCCAGCTGCCCCACTTCCCTTCAAGCTCCCTGCTTGTGGCCTGGGAAAACAGTAGAGGATGACCCAAAGCCTTGAGACACTGCACCCTTGTGGGAGACGCAGAAAAAGCTCCTGGCTCCTAGCTTAGGATTTGCTCAACTCTGCCTCTTAGGCTCTCTGGGGAGTAAGTTAGTGGACAGAAGATCTTTTCTCTGTCTCTCTAAAACATCTGCCCAAATAAACTAAATAAATCTTTCAACAAAGCCCTTCTATGCAGGTAGTAGACCAGCGGTGGTAGTGTAGGAATTGGTAAGTCTACTGCTGCCGTGGGTGTGGAAACAGGAAGTGTGAGAGCCCCAGCTTGCATTTGCCCCTATTTCTAAACAAGACACTTGGGGTTATCTAGTTACTGACTGTATGTGGAGATGGGTGATGTGGAATACATCCTATGCACCCTAGCCTGAAAAACAAACCATTATCACCTCTCCAGTTCTCAGGTGAAAGTTACTTTCTGGATATTCTTATGACTTTCTTTTTCAAATTTTGGCACTTACTCTTCACTGTTAATTAGACTTTCACAGGAAGCATAGAGTTGTCTTATAAAATGCACACCATAACTGAAGGTGATGAGCAATTTAAAATGACCTCGATACCAGTGAAATCACTGGAGAATACGCCAGCAGTATCCATAACTACAAGTAAAGAATAACAAGACATTACGATTTCATTGAAAATTGTGAGACTGTATTAGAAAATACTTCGGGAAAGGAGGTCAGACCTTCACTGAGCAGAATTAGGGAGGGGAACAGAAGTGGCCGTCTGCCTAGGTGATATAAGCGAAAGTGCTACAGGATCTAGATAAGCGTTCCAGAAGGCAAGGATGCAGTGCCAAAACAATAACACTGCTTTCCAGAATTGAAAGAAATACATTGACATATGGGGAGCTCATATGGAGAAACAATTGCCTCTCACTTAGACACCGAACTGGGAGCCTGAAGAATGAGAAGAGCCAGCGGTTGATCAAAATGTAGAGCTCGTTGATGGGAGCACCCTAGAGCAATGACAGGTTCAGGGTGGAGTTCCTGGGGTCTGCCCAGGCATGGAGGGTTTTACTCGCCAGATAGTAAGGCTCTTCCACTCTTCCTTCTGGTTGGGACTGCTCGGCCTGAGACTCAGGTTCTCGTCATTGCTGTCCTTTCTGAGTAGTGACACCTTGGGGTCTCCCTGGGATGCAGCGCCTGGGAGAGCACCTCCTGGGTTAGCTGCACCTAGCCATTGCCAGGGCACCTGTGCATTCTGATTGGCCACTGCCTGAGAGGCACTGTTATGTCTGTTGTGACATCATAGTACATCAGCCCAAGGTGGATGCCAGCTACTCCTGCAAAGGAGCTCCCAGCTCTGTCTCAGGTGAAACATTTTGAAACACTCAGAAAGGAAGAGGTTACTAGTACATTCTAAAATGTATTGAGCATTTTAATCAAAGCGAAGTATTTTACTGGACTATAAGTGAATCTAAATACAAGGAAAATCATAAAAATAATTATTAAAATGATACTAAAACTCCACTATGTTTTCCATCTCACTAGAAGAAAAATCAAGATATGTAAGGAGTTTAGACATTTTTAGAACTACAAGACAAGAAGACATGTTCAATGTGTGATGCCCATTACATGAGAAGATCCGGTCATGAATGTTAGCATGGGTGTACCACAGAAGTATCAACAGCACATAAATATGTATTAACCTGCTCTCCTTTAGTCACCTGGGCATTATACATTACAATGACCATCAGAAGCATTTTTATACCAGGACTTAAGCATTCTGAGAGCAGTAAATGTTAATATTGTTACAGCTTGAATTTTTTTTAAAGATTTATTTTTAAAAAGGCAAATATGCATGGAGGAGGAGAGACAGAGGGGAAGATCTTCTGAGGATGATTCACTTCCCAAGCGCCTGCAATGGCCAGAGCCGCATAGATCCAACGCCAGGAGCCAGGAGCCTCTTCCTGGTCTCCCACACAGGTGAAGGGCCCCAAGACCTTGGGCCGTCCTGGACTGCTTTCCCATGCCACAAGCAGAGAGCTGGATGGGAAGTGGCACTGTCAGGATTGGAACTGGCGCCCATATGGGTTCCCGGTGTGTTCAAAGCAAGGACTTTAGCTGCTAGGCTACTTCTCCAGGTCCTACAGTTTGAATTTTCACATAACATGGGAATGATGCCTAACAAAAACAGTTGGATAGTTGATGGCATCTGGTTATGTAAAAAATTATGGAAGTATGCCTGGCTGAAGCACAGCTTTATGATTCAGCACATGGTTCACTCTTCAAAATCTGAATATCCAAAGATGGCATGCTAAATTACACTATGTAATTTACAGAAAAAGATAAAACAAAATGACTTGAGCTTTTCCTCCATCAATATGCAAGTTGTGTGGTTGCAGAAGGGAAAAGAGGAAGGAAAAGGAAAAAAATAGCAAACTTGTTTTAGTCAGAAATGGATGGTTCTAGTCACACAATGTGAGAGCATAAAGAAGCTCCAATGACTGAGAGTACCTATGTGGTGCAAAGAAAAGTTATTAAAATCCAGTGTGGGTGAATGAATCATGCTATCCAACATCATGTGCTACTTAATGTCATTTCTGAAAGCAAAATCCTAAGTTTTTTTTCTGTCTAGTTTACTGATGCGGGATCGCATTGTAGAAACATGATTGCACAGTCATGCTCAGGACAGAGTTGGGCACATAGTGAGTGCTTCTCCAATGGAGGATGAGGAAATTCTATGCCTATCTTCACATATTTCTTGCATTGTTCTGAGTTTCAAGAATACGTAAAAGTGTGAGTATTTGGTAGAATAAAAACCAGTTTTAAAACTCTTACATTCTTTTTATTTTTATTTGGAAAGTCAACCTCACAGAGAGGAAGAGAGACAGAGAAAGATCTTCCATCCGTTGATTCACTCCCCAAGTAGCTGCAACAGCTGGGGCTGTGCCGATCCAAAGCCAGGAGCCAGGAGGCTCTTCTGGGTCTCCCATGCAGGTGCAGGGTGCCAAGGCTTTGGGTCACTCTTGAGCTCATTCCCAGGCCACAAGCAGGGAGCTGGATGGGAACTGGAGCTGTTGGGATACAAACCTGCACCCCAATGGGATCCTGGCGCATGCAAGTTGAGGACTTTAGCCACTAGGCCACTGGGCTGAGCCCAACACTTTTCTTTTCTTCTTCTTCTTTTTTTTTCTTCTTTTTAGCTTGAGAATTGGAGGGATCCATTCTTAGCTCTTCTATTTCTTGAAATTACTACAGGTCATGTCTTCAACATCACCCAAGGATTATTTCTTATCCTAGTGTTTGAGACTGGAATTAAATCCCAGTTCACTCTGTAACCCAGGAGGCAGCAGGTCCCAGCCACCAGTGGAGTGTGCCTGGATTGAGAGCTCACCTGCTGGTTGCCCTTGAGCCTTTCCGCAGCCATTGCAGGCGCTGGGGTGGGAATCAGCTGGGAACAGATCTACCTCCTCACTCCCATCCCCTTTTCTGTCTCCCCTCTTCACACCTCTCAGAAAAGAAAAAGTCTCTCACCTTCTAAAAACAAGTCACAGAACAACTGCCTGCGATTCCCTCTGGGCCCCGACAGTCGGCAATCCGCCTTGTGGCTTGCAGCGTCACTGTGTCATGGATGATCTTGGCGGGGCGATGTTGTAGAAGGTCACACTTTAGACCAGGCAGCGTCTAAGAAGGCGATTTCAACCTGGTGTGAAAACATTACTGTGAATCTCTCAGTGGCTTTGGCATCTCTCTCTAAATACCTGTACTCATGACGAAGGTTTGTGAAAGTTGTGCGTAAGGAAAATATGAGAGAGAACTGTTCACTGGGTGACATTTCCCTTGCACGAATGAACAACAAAAGGGTGCAAATCAGAGGCATGATGCATGATACTGGTCCTGGTTCATTCTCCTCGCACGCAGGAGCTCGGGAAATCTGCCAGATGGCAAGCATTTCAGAGGTTGGTAGGTTTGGATTTGAATTTCCTCTGCTACACCACTTCCAGTTCCATTAACATTACATAATATCCATAAGCCTGGGAGTCCAACCTCAGATACGCTAAGTGTGGGCTAATGGGCCACCTGACTCAGTTCCCAGCACGCCAACGAAAAAGATGACAGCTATTATGTTTCCCTGTTCCCACTTAAATCGCTGGCATTTTACTGGTAATGAGGCTGATGTATAATGTCTTACGTATGCTTTAATGGACACTGACTTAGGAACTACTTAGCAGTTTTGTTAGAATAAGGCCATGTTGTTGCTCCGTTTTGGCAGCAATGAGCAGTCTACAGACTCAACCACCACACTCACATACATAGTCCTTGAATATTTTGCATAGAAATATCTCGAGGCCATCACTTTTGGAATGTGTACAGTTCATAGCTCTCCATCATATTGCAAAGTGATCAGAAAAATTGCTTGTATTTTCTTCTGCTGGCATTATAGATCTAATTGTATAAATAAAATATTCTTTATGCCAAGATCACTAAACCTTAAAATCTAATAATAATGGAGCCTTGCCATTTTAATAGGGATATAAGCTTTCTAAAGTATTTTTAGATATATTGCTTCACAAAGTACGAGGATCCAAGCCAACATGTCATAAAGGGAAGATAACCTTATGTAGAATGTTCCATTCTTAAACAAATGAGTTATAGAAGATCTCTCTGTAAATTTCTTCTTGCAGCAGTGTCCTGCGGGCTCTATTCCAAATAGGAAGCAGAGTCCTACCTTTGGATAGCGGTGACTCCACTGGTGCCCAGTCTTGAGCACAGGCCCCAGTTCTACTCTTCAGGAATTGTGCAATGCTGGGCAGCTGTTCACTTCCTTGAGCAACAGTGCGCCATTCGTTGGAGGGCTTTGTTAATATTCATTCTTCCAAGCTACTGTATCGTGTGTATTGCATTATGCAAATAGTGAATAAGTGGGGCTGACTCATTTCATTTCCAAGGCACTATTTTCTTATTTGAAATCAAAGAGTTATAGAGAGGTGTGGATGATGGATAGATGATAGATAGATAGATAGATAGATAGATAGATAGATAGATAGATAGATAGATAGATAAAACTTCTATACTTTGGTTCACACCTCAAAAGGCCACAACAGCTAGGCAGGACTGAATCAGGTTGAATGCTGGAGGTAGCAGCTCCATAAAGACCTCCCATATGACTGTAGAGGTCCATATATTTGAGCCATCCTTTACTGCTTTTCCAGACATTTAGCAGGGTGATGAATCAGAAGTAAAACAATCAAGACTTAAACCAGGGCTTTCCTCTTGGATGTCCTTTGCGAGCGGAGGCTTACCTACTGCAACGCAAGGCTGGCCCCTACTTCTTATGTCATTCTCTTGCCCTTTTTCACCAGACTGGAGTTTTGTTAGGTTTTCATTCCACAGATGCAATACAGAAGCCTTGGGGACACGGTGCTTGTCAACTGTACAGAAAAAGCATCTCAGTAAAACCTGGGGGCAGATACGATCCCTGATTGAGTGGATGTCCGTATCAGAGTGGAACAGAACCAGTAGCTCCCTAAGAAAGCAGTTAACTGCCACATCTGTGCCTGGGGCAGAGGGCACATGGGACACTCAGTGTCCCTTCCTGTCGCGTGTGTCCTCAGCAGAGCCTTGCTGTGTTCTCCTGTTAGAGTGCCTGCAGCATCATGATAGACACAGGTATCCTGGGGGCTCTGCCTTGGGTCAGAATAAGTGGGGGTAATTTTGGGGCAAATTCTACCTTCTAGCAGTAGCATCATAGTTGTGTCCCAATCTGGCTGAGTTACTAATGTAAGATGACTGGCAAAATAGTTAAGCCACAGGGAAACCCAGGCAGTATTTTTGTTCTGTGATTTTTTTTTAATAGCACTACTCTCCCTTGAATAACAAAGTGAATAGATTTCTGCTCTCTGTCTTGGTTCTGTGATCAGCAGCAAGTGCCATTGGAGAAAGAGCAGAGAATCGGTTCTCTCTGACAGGTGGCTTGGTTATGCTGACCCTGTGGCTGCTGGTCACACAGTGGATGAACCAGGATGGAGCAGTGACAGGAATGTGGCCTTGGGTGCTTGTTGACAAGCAGTCTAAATGAAGAGTGGGGATCTTGGCATCCAGCGGCTATAATGATTCCTTCTAAGGAAGGGGCTTCATACCGCTTGAATCACAAAGTTCCAAATTTACAAAGAAAGTTCCTTGGGCTTCAAAAATTTTTGCAAGACATAGAAATACAGACAAACATCTCACAAAAATTTTAAAAATGTTCTAG